AAAGTAACGTATTATTTTCAACCACATCATGGGAAACAGAAGCTTGATCATAAGTTTAGCTGCTAATTGACAAAAGCGAGTTTCACTAGTTTACCCTGAGTATCTGTTTACTTCTCAAGATAAAATTGCTTCTTCAGATTTCATTATTGAAATTGCTGATAATCTTTGAGAGTTGTTCTTAAACGGGTTATTAAGCTAAAGGTAATTTTTAGAAAAAATAGTAATCTTAAAGGAGCTAATGTTGTTGTAGGATTATACAGAGCAGTGAAATCGAGTTTTAATCCAGAAATAAGTGAAGAAAAAAGCTCTTCGAACGTTGCCAATGTTCAGTGCTAGAATTGTGCATAGAAGGAACATGTACAATACAATCGTCTTCAACTGCATACGTTTAATGGACAGGAAAATCAAGTTATGTTGAACTTCTAGGAGTAAATTTAAGAGTTAGAAAGCAAGCTCTTTAACATTCGGTCTTAAATAATAGAAAGATTAATGGGAATTCCAGTAAATTTATGTTTAAAAGAACATTAAATAACAAAATTTAAGATTTTGTGTTAGATTCTGGCTTAGCATTACTATTTTGAATTCAAATTTTGTAATTTCAGTGGATATGAATATTCCCATTAATTATATGACACTGAAGTATCCAACAGGTGAGGGTGTTCCTATAAAGCTTAGAGTAAAAGCATTCGTGTTTCTAGGAAAAGACGAGATTTAAATGATTATATATGTAGTAATTATAGTTAATAAGAGCGCGTGGTGGCTTGGTTGGCTAGGTCGTGGATTGGCACGCGGGCGACCGTGGTTCTATTCCCGGCCAGTGCGACTTTTGGGCAAGTACCTCTGTGAGTCTCACATGTGCTTTTTTACCACGCAATGCTCCTCGAGGAGGGTTTAGGTGACCTTCTCGCAGCAACGATTGCCTACTGTCCCCCTACCCCCCTCCCAGTTATGGGAGGCCTTCCATCCCTTTCCTTGTCCCTTTCCCAAGTGCTAAGTGCCCATAGTAGTGGCCTTATTAAAAAGAGCCTGACGTAGAGCACTATAATTTATATAAAAAAGAAAAAAATTATAGTTAATGATTCTATCCTTAGAAGTGATTTCTTTGCTAAAATAAGTTTTACAGAAAAATTCATAGTTTGATGTTTGAGAAAATATCAGATGATAACCCTATTGAATGGATTATGAACCTATAGGACATTGTTCCAGTTAATTAAGAGTGTATTTTTCATAAAAATTGACACTAATGACAGAAATGGAGAAACAAGAAATCATTAAAAGATCATCAAGCTCATGGTGTTTTCCAGTCGTCCTCAAGAAAAAAATGGGTTTTACAAGATTTTGTGTCGACTTTAAAAATGTAAAAGCAACAATAATTAAAGATTCATATCCTTTATTATAAAAATCAAGAATAAAGATAGAAAAACTACAGCTTTTTCTGTTGGGCAAAGATTATGAAAATTTAAAGTCATGTTATTTAAATTATGTGATGCACAAGCGACTTTTAAGCGATTTATGAAAGAAGCACTCACAGGATTGATGTAAAAAATTTACTTAATTTATTAAAATGACATTATTATATGAGCAGATTCGTTAGAAGAAATGTTAGTGGATCTAGAGAAGGTATTTCTTGGATTTTAAAAAGCTAATCTTTGAATAAATCAGGAGAAATTTTATTTCTTTGAAAGAGGAATTTAATTTTTCGATCACATTAAAGAAAAAGAAAAAAGCTACTACATTTTTTGTCAATGTTCAATATTAGGGACACATTTGATAGCAGCGTTCCAAAGGGGGACTTTTCCCTAATACGGAGAGAAATTTGTAGTTAGAACAGATCATTCTCCCTTTATTTGGTTCTCATCAGTTAAAGAGCTGTATGGGCAGCTTACCATATAGTTTGGATCATTAGGTCAGTACAAGTTTAAGATTTTTAATAAGAGAGAATCGATTCTCGGAAATGGAGATGAATTATCTAGGTGACCATGTGAAGATAAATCCTGCAAGAAGTGCTATCGTATTAAATAAAGTTGAAAGCAGAGGATAAGACAATAACTTTTATTATTTTTATTAAAGAAGCAAGATCAGACTGAAAAAAACATCAGGTGGAAGAGGAGGCCATAAAAATAGTTATTGACAATAAGAGAATTACCACTCAACCAGATTGGCAGCAAATTTCATCGAAAGATGCAAATTCACAAAAGGATACTGTAGTCAATGGAACTCATTCGTTTCTTGGGGTAGAGTTTTATGTATAAAATGGATTTCACTAAACTTAAAAATCAAAACTTCACAACTATTTGTTCTAAGGTAGAAGATAGATGAAGTTCTTTAAGAAGTGCATGATTAACCTATTGAAGGATCCTTTGGAATTAACAAGACACTTGACAAGATTAGGAAGAGGTTTAATTGGGCCACTTGTAAGAAGGATGTCGAGAGTTGGTGTCAAATATGTATGACTTGTGTTCCAAAGAGGGATCCATTTGATAAGGGAGTTAGTAAAATGAGAGCTTACAATTTGGAAGCTTATTTTAAGAGAATTAGGATGGATATTTTAGGTCCATTTTCAACCTACCCCATAGGCAACAAATATCTCTTTATTGGGATAGATAATTTTACCAAAAGGGTAGAAGCTTTCTCCTTATCAAACATAAAGACAAAAACAATAACTCTAATTTCTGTTAATGACGTTGTTTGTTGTCATGGTGTACCCTTGAATATGCATACTGATCAGGGTATAAATTCCGATTCTTGTCTGGTAAAAGAATTAACATAACTTTTTGAAATAAGGGAAATACGTCCTGCACCTTCATACCCATAATCAAATGGTCAGGTAGTGGAACGAAAATATCAGATGACTTTTAATTATTTATCTGAATTGCTAAGCAGAAACTAATAAGATTGGGATTTATGGATCTCACTATTTTAATTAGCTTACAGATCTTTTAAACATACGTTGAGTGGGTTCGCTCCAGCTAAGATGTACACTGGTGATAATCTTTAACATCCACTGGATCTGATGAGAGGAACTCCTCCGGATTATCGTGTTGACATCTCATCACCAGAGAATAATGTTGAGAAGCTGACCAAGAAGATGGCAAAAATCCATGACTTGACAAGAACTACTATAGCTGTAACATCTTGTAAGATCAAGACTCATAATTATAAACGAACAGGAAAAGTCAATTTTTCGAAAGGATAAATTACTTGGTTCTTTAATCTACAAAAAACCAAAGGAAAAAGTCCAAAACTGCAGAGTTACTAGAACGGTGTATTTGAAGTTGTTAAAATGGTCAATGATGTCATCTGCGCCATTAGGATGTCACAAAAATACCAGAAAAAGATGATACATATGAGCAGCATTTTGATTTTTTACGAAAGAAAATTATCCCAACTACTCTGCTTCGATTTCATTTTGTATGGTTTACTGTTCCAAAGACGTGAGGCAAAAGCCAAGTAGGAATGTAAAATGAGATCTATGAAACGTCATTTCTTATTTTATTCTCAAAGATTAAACCATGTATCTACATTTTAAATTACCCTGAAAAATGAGGCATAGTAGAATGAAACAGATACAATAGGATTGAAGATGCTCGATAACTTGTTGGTATAGTCAAGGTAGAGATTTCAATCACTACAGCTGTAAAGAGATAATTTAGATGTAGTTTGACTTACAGTTAAATATCATGTCCTTGGTAACTTGAAAAAGGGGTCAAGTAGAGTCATTTGGTATCTTGGAGCTGTCTTTATATTCTGTAGCTGTAACGGAAGAAAATAAAGTTGATATTTTGGAATGCTGTATGGTGCTTAGTTTTGTGATTCCCAGGACGACAATCTGAAAGAGAAGAGGGTAAAGTTGGGTATACGGTTACAAAGTCGTGGAACGTATGAGGTGCCGCGAGATCAAAAATGTAGCTATGTGTTGCTAGGTGTCGTTGTTGATAAAAAAATAGTAGTTTAGTCGAGATTGTAACCTCAAGCTAATTACTTCTGTTCACTTCTGTCAATAAAGCTTAGTTTCGTTTTGTAAAGTAGCGTGTTTCAATTGTTACTGGTAAGCGTAACAATAAGGATAAATTCGAAAAGGGCTGAATTGCATTAACACAAGTAAGTGAGATATCTACAATGAGCAAAATTAACGCAAGCTATTGGGTTCAGTGGCGTTTTTTTTGCTATTTCCAAAGCAGTGACAGTAAGTTTACGCACGCTTTAATATATGTACGTCACCTAGTAAGTGCTATTACCAGGCTTTTATAGTCTCCTCCAGGATTGTCACAAGCATCTCAAGGAACATTTCAAGGACCCCGGAGCCATCCAATAATAGACTGTAACTGAGACGAACAGTGGTGAATAAAGTGTTTGTGAAGTTTCAGGAGAGCTGTACACCAAGAAAATCAGAGAAAGAGGGAGAAAGAGAAAAGAGAGAGATATCTGCGTCCACGTACAAGGGTATTTAAAGTATAGAGAGTGAAAGAGTTGTGTGGCTTGTGAGGGTTTTTGGAGAAGAGAAAATCGCCAAAGACAGAAATTTTGGTAAGTGTGCCAGTCATAGTCTAGACATGGAAAGCAAGGAATGGCGTAGTGTTGGATGGTAACACGTGACTCAAAGCATTTCTGACAGTTTTGTTTGATTTCAAATAAACGGTGATATTGGAAAGATTTTTGGTGTTAGACTATTTCAGATAGTGATCAAAGGGGCATCAAAATAATGCAGTGCATGGTAACAGGCAGCCAGATAAGTGGATATATGGGTGTACATTTTCTTTGAGCAAGGTCATTGGAATGACTCTGTAATAGTATGCCATCAGCACCACAGAGTCATAAAATAATGTCTGGATACAAAATATATATTGAATTTAAATTATCATTATTAGCATACAAAAAAAAGTCCTGTTAACTTCTACTGCAAGTTTGACCACTAGTAAATTTATGACAAGTATCATATACTGCATCCTTAGACTTTCTCTCAAACCATACATGACTCTATTAAATTTACATACGCTGTTTTAGCTGATTTTATAATCTTTAGGTTGATACATTCGTGCTCCAGCTTTCTTTGCTTTAGTCATATATGCTGTTTTAATCAGATGTAGCTTAGTAGAATGACATGATTACCTCTGCTTCAAATATCTTGAAATACTTCCTTAGTGGTATATGAACGTTAACTGATCAGGCTTTTTACACTGAAATGTTGCTGAGTCAAGTGCTTTACAAACAGATGAGGAAATAAACGAGTTAGAAAAATAAAATATATACTTCTTATTCACTTTCAACATCTTTACTTCTTTTTTTTACGTAATACTTGTCCTACCCTTAAGCTTGTTCGTATACTACTACTTAAGACGACAGTGGCAGGGATCAAGTGCACAATATTTTTTGAAAATTGATGTTTTATGTCCATAATTTTGCCTCAGAGTGCGCCGCTACTTTGAAGAGCAGTGATAGCCCCTAGTAGTACACCGGGAATAATTAAATCATGACTCACCCACATAAGGTTAGTTTACGTACCCTTACTTGAGATGGCAAGGACAGAAACCAGGGTTACTCTGACGTAGATTCTCTAAGTGGTAATCTTCTTCTGCTGCCTTTTTTAAACTCTATTTTGATTGTGGATTAATTAGAATAAGCTTCAGTGTGAACAATATGTTACCACTATCAAAGCAGTGAGCTTCATAAGTGTGTGACTTCTCTGGTTCATTGTATAAGCCATTATTAGTTTTTAAAAGTCTAAAGTTCATAAAAACATAAGTGGCTCAAAATCAGTGTCCATCGCAAAAGTTGCTAAAACTTACATTTATTACAGGGGTCTAGTGAGTTCTTGACGGTTTCTCCTATGAGTGTAGTCAGTGCTAAAAATTTGAAAAAGAAAGTGCTAGTTACCTAAAATATTCTTTAAAATGTAGGACACTTTTATACTATTCATTTAAAGTTTTATCTGAGATTTACCATAAGCTTTTTTACATTGGAGTAGTCAAATTTAATTGGGATTATAACGCAGTTAAACACTCCTTTATTTTTTTTAATTTGGAAGTAAATGCATCAAAGTGACAATTTTTTTGGTTTCTTCTTTAATTTTCAAAATTAAAATATTCGGTGTTAAAACAAAATACTTTATTTGAGTAAAATCTCTTAGAATAATTGCATGTACATACCTTGTGGCTTAGAATGCTGGCGACGGTGCTTGGAATCAGTCATGATGACAGAGAACCAGTCAAGGAGTCGATTGGCTATCGTAGGCTTCGATGATGGTGGACAGTCAACGCTGTTATGTGAGTCGTTCAATTTAGACATCGTCGATTGTTGCTGCGATTGGTATACTATGTGTGATGATCCGTTTTTCTTATTAATTTTTTCGTTGCTCTTAAAGATCTTGTCATCGTGCTTCAGGGCTTTCATAGCGTGCGGGTGCTGCTTTGCATAAATTGATATTGTAAATGCATAAAGTTCATGACAAATTAAATTGATAATCACAAATATATTTATTCACAGTTTATTTCAGGTTAGTTATCAACATGATTTCTACTCTGATATTAATTAAGTACGTCACTTGATAGGTTTCCTTACTTTACTTTCTCAATAGGCCACATCTGTCAATACGTACAACTCATCAAAAGTTCGACTCATCTTTGAGCACAAATAACTTTTAAAGTGAAACAAAAAATTTTTACTGCAAAGTTTTGTCAGCTAGTGTGTTAAATTTTTTATTAATTAGTAGGCAAGTTATTCATATGAACTACTTTTTGTCAATACTAGATACTGATAACACACACATATCAGAAGGACACAGTGTGTGTCTTACAAATCATGAAAAAATCATTTAATTTATTGAGTCTTATCAAACTGCAGAAAAAGGCATAAAAATTAACAGCGTTCGGCAGTTCATAGCGAAACATACTCATGGACTTATATAAATATACATACTAAAACAACCCAAGTTTAATAACCAACCTCCACAAACACACACACAATATATGTATGTCTTGTCTTTTCACAATCGTATTATCAAGTGGTGTGACAGGGCGAATGCCAGGCAGGCAAGTTTGAGAAGCATGCCATGGTGATCGGGTACAGTATTTACTTCTATATTTAATTACTAAATTTTCAATTAATAAAAAAATTCTTATTACTATTTTACCAGAGTATTTTCCATTCAATATAACGTTTTGTGTGCTAAGCTATGATTTTCAATGCAAACACTATTAAAAAAACTATGATAACATGATATAAGAGTGCAACGTATACTGAAATGGCTAAAATCTCCTTCCTCCAAATCTAGTGTGACTAGACCGTAGAGTTAGCTACATGCTGGCCATAGCATTGTACAGAATACTCTCCCAGTTTGTGAAATCTGCCTGTACTTGGCAATAATGGCTGAGTTACAATGTCAATAGCCACGAATGAATTATTACCGTAAATGAGTATTTTGGCGTGGGTACCGTACTGCCAGCACTGAGTGGTGGCTGCATTTTAAACTTAAGCTTGTCCTACAAATCCAAAAAAAATTTAAGTAATTGTATTTTGGCAAAGAATGGATAGGAATAACCTTTTTTTTATCATTTTTAAATTTTTAGCATCTTATACATGCAAAGGATCGTGCAAATACGTGAAAAGCTACACTCTACCCAACTGTTCATGATCACTTTCATTTTTGAGTTGTGTGTAAAAAATTATTTCACTTATAAATCACTTAGTATTACGTGTTGGCACTCAACCGTTAAAAATTTGCTTGATTCTTGCAGATATTTTAAAGAAAATGTAAAATAAGGTGCGTTGGTTGAAACGACCAAACTGTTAATAAAACTTCAATTTATAGTATAACTCTTACCCTGCCGAAAATTGTTAAAGCTGTACACTACAAGAAATAAAAGACTACAACATTAAAAACTGGCAAGAAATATGTAATAATGGATATCAATAAAGAAAATTTAACCAAGTAGATATGACAGTTAGTAATACTGTAGTAGTTGTATTCATAACAGTATATGAAACAACTGATAAAGGTATTACTTAAATGATTCACTCTAAGGTGCAATACTGACATTTGGAAATGATATAAGCAATTAAAAATTTCAGTTCGTAAATTAAGAGTTTCACAATGGTATAGTATATCAAAAGATCATTGTATGAATATATTATGTCACTAAAACCAGTGATTTTATGTCAATAACAAAGATATCGTTAAAGAACAACGGACGAAAGCCACTAAGGATCTTCATTTTTATTTTTAAAGCAAGTTTAAAACATATCAAGGAGTTTATTAAAAAAGAGAAGTTTATTTATAAAACATCAAGAATTAAAACACTCTCTTTGAAATTAAACAACAGTTTTTAAATTTTCTAACCGTTTGTGCTTAGTTTTTGTCGATTAAAACAGATTGATTTCAAAATTCCATCAAAAAAAATTTAAATTTCCATGAAAAAACTATCCTAATTTTACAGTAAATGGTTTAGTAAGTTTAATGTATTTGGTATCCATAAAAAAAAAAAAAAAAAAAAAAAAAAAAAAAAAAAATAAGACTGCAATAATGATAACCTTACGCGGTGGTATATAATTGAAGCCAGCCCAGCAAGTTATAGGAATTTATTAATTTTGCAAATTATTGACAGGTTTTTTTCTCTTATAAAATATTTGCGTTATTTAATTATTGATACAGTTGTACAGTTGTAATGTAAATTTAGAATAATGTTTGAAAACTCACTTTTTTTGGTAAACCTCATGACTTTATAAATAATCAATGTTGTTTGGTAAAATTTTTTATTCATTTAGAAATCCTTATTAAGATATTTATTTTAATATTAAATCATTTTTTATAAGTAACAATTCTTCGATTTTGTGACAAACCTCATTTTTTCTTTTGATCGTATTGCTTCTTAAATCTTTTACTTTGTTGAATTCTTTAGAATCAACAACATTTAAAGTATTATACATCTTAAAAAAGGTAGTGAATATTATCATAGTTTCTGTTATTAAAATAAAAACTGTATCACGTACACTATACTCAATTATTGTTTTTGTAATCTTGGTTTTTTTTGATGGATACAAACACATCAAACTCTCTTTACCTTCCACTCAAAAAGAGAGTTCTTTTTCATGGATTATATTTAACTTACCATTTATTCTAGGGACAATGTCTATGTTAAGATTTTCAAACATTTTATTATGTCATTAGAAAATGTAGGAACATAAAGTTAACATATCATTGCTATTTTAACGAATATTTTTTAAATTTCTTACAAAGTATTCTCATTTCTTTGTTTTCCAAAATTTTTTTTTTAAGTCGTATTTGTTGATAATGCAAGTGGGTTTGATATGTTTCCGTGTGGCATCTGTTTTACTATTTATAAATAACAGATCAAAAAAATGTATAGCTATATTTATCAAATTCAGAGTTACATTAATCTTGTGCTGATTCGTATGTAAATATTCAAAATATTAAGTTCATTAGTTGAAAATTTTTTAAATAAGAATGCGTTATTATTTTTTATTCTTTTTTATAAACTTACTTTTAAAATGTATGCTTCAAAGTCATTGTGTACCTTTTGTAAAAATATTAAATTATTTTAAAAAATTTATAATTAAAATCAATATTTTTATTTCTTAAGGAATAAATTGCTTGGTACAATTTTTTAAAATTGTTTTATAACTTTACAGAATTATCTTGCAGTGTACAAAAAATTTTTTTTTAACTTTAATTTAAGAGTAATTTACTACATCGTCTAGCACAAAATCCAGAAAAAAAGGAATAAGGATGTGAAATATCTTTTAATAAAACTATGTATCAAAAGTGAAAAAAGTATTTTCAAAGAACTTTATTGAAATAATATTTTTCAAACAGATTTTTAATACTTGACTAACTTTTCTTTCACATCTTTCGAACTAACCAACTACAAAGTCACATGGCAAACTTGTATTCATTATAAACTGTCAACACAAACAAATAACTATCTTGAACTTCCAAATATTTCATTTTATTCGTTATATTTAGACTCTTTTAAACACAGAACAATAATGTAGGTATACGTTTTACAATCATAACTATTTATTAACAACATAATTTTTTTTATAGTAGGTAAGTATGACTTTTTATCCAAGAAATGATAGGTCTCAATAAAAATTTGTTACTTCTGTATTTTTCGACAGCCACATGCTGACTAAGTATCTATTCGTGTAATTCAATTTAATAAATCGGGTAGTAGCGCCCTCCTCACAGCCAATGATGAAACTTCCCTAACATCAGTAAAGAAAGCCAAATAGCATGGGCGTGCATGAGGACACATTCCGAAATAATTTTATTTAATAACATTTTTTGCTCGCAAAAAGCCAAATCATTTAATTTTGAGTAGGATAAGTATTTTTTAGTAAAAAAAAATTTTTTTCCAACTAACACGTTAAAGTTATAATAACTTGCGAATTCTGGCTTTGTGCCTACAGACGTCTGGTTTAACATAAAGAGCTTGCGAAATATTTGTCAAACTTTGTTTAAAGAATGGAAACGTAACATTGGGTGTACGTTATTATAAATGTCCATGGGTAAACTGACCTTGCGAAAATCAGGTGAGTAATCAGGTGATTTCTCATACCAAAATTTCATCTGTTCAGATTTTCAATTTTGTATGTGTTTTTTAGTATTTTCAATTATTTTATGCGTATTTTCAAAAATTTTAAGCTTCAATTTTTTTTTCCAAAAGTTTGTACTTAAAAATGGTCCAAGAAACTTTAAGTTAATAAAAAAGGTCTTAAGGTGACTAGAGACATTAAAAAAAGGTTGATAGAAGGAAAAAGAATTACATGATATTTTTGCATGAAAAATCACTTGATTTATCACCTAATTTTCAAAAGGAAAGAAGGCTAGTGCTTGGTAGCTGTGTTGGTTTACACAGATTTAATAGCTTTACACCGATCTCTGCCTACCTATATACGAATATTTGGGTTGCGCACTACGTGCAGGTGACTGCTTACAAGATTAATGCAAGAGTGTTTGTTTTATTTTATTTTTCCATTTTTGTATATCAGTTACGAACAATGGCCTTATACTTGTAAGTACTTCTCTTACTCTTAATTAAATAATTGTGCGTTTTCTTAATCCAGACTGTTATTGAATTTAATTATTTCAGAATGTGTCACAATGTCTGCCTATGTAATTTGGCTTTATTTACGTGCCTTAGAGCAATTCTTTCATTGGCAGCAAGAAGGACGCTGCTACCCCATTTACCAAGATGAAAACGTATGCTGTTGAATTTACAGTCAAGGAATCCATGAAAAATTTTTCAATAAGATATTCCCTAAAGACACGACATTTCTTTGACAAATAGTCGGACATACCTATACCTTTAAAAATATTATATCTGTACGGAAGTTTCAAAAAATTTCTGTCTACGTTATCATTCTATATTTGTATTAGCCAAAAT